TCTAGCCAAATTTGCATTTACGTTTACATTTATCTAAATAAAATAGAATTTAAAATTCAGTTCATCAGTCACACTGGCCAACATTTTAAGTCCTCACGAATCCGACGTGGCTGGTGGCTACTGTATTGGTCAGCGTGGATGATAGAACATCTGTGTCATTGCGGAAAGTTCTAGAGCTTCATTAACACCTGGTTCAAATATTATTAAGAAAAAAAAATCAAGTGCCCAGAGTAGGTTAGAGCAAATTCCGTTCTAGGCAGTGATTCTCTTTATATATAGACTTTGCTCGTAACCGGCACGTTAAATATTTGTTGAATCGATGAGTGGATAAATACAATTCTTTTCTTTTCTTCACACAGATCAACCACTCTGATAGTGCGAGGAACAGGTACTCTGGCTGGCCTGCAGAGGTACAGATAGAAGGCTGCATACCGAAACAACCGAGCTAACGTTGCACATGGCCTTAATAAACGTGTGATGTGTAGACCCATGCGGTGTGGCCTGGCCCAAGAATCTTTGCCAACAGTCAACATTTGATGACTTTTTGAGGTTTGTCTTCAAGCAAGCGGTATTTGCTGGTTGTATCCAGTCTCGGCACACAGTACGTTTATGCCAGAATGTCTCTAAGTGAAGGCATTCGTGAGCAGGAAGACTAGAATGGATGGGAATGGTGAGGGAAGGAAGGGATGTGGCCTGGAAAGAGAGGTTGGGAGGAGCAAGCCCTGCTTGTTGGGCTGCGGAACTGCCGTAGGACCGGACCTACGGCTGGGGAGTCTGCAAAACACTGGCTAGGACTGTGGCTCAGGCCCCACTATGGACTAAACTATGTCCCTGCAAAATTCCTAAGTTGAGATCCTAACCCCTGGAATCTCAGAATGTGACCGTATTTGGAAATAGAGGAAATTGTGGGTGTAGCATGTTAGGAGGAGTAGGGTGGACCACGAGCCAGGGTGATCGTGTCCTTATGCGAAGGGGGACGTGGACAAAGAGCATGGAGGCAAAGGTCCGGGTGATGCTTCCACAAGCCAGGAAGTCCCAGGGACACCAGCAAACCCCTACAAGCCTGGGGAGAGGCCTGGAGCAGATGCCTCCCCAGAACCCGTGGAGGGTGCACAGGCCGGAACACCTTGGACTTCTGGCCTCTAGACTGAGGGAGAGCAAATGTCACTGTTTAAGCCGCCCATCTGTGGGGTTTGGTATGACCGCCCCAGGGACATGCTTACGGTTCCCTTTGGGTTCTAAGCTCTGGCGCCCATAGACATTTCTGTACTAAAGAAAGGGGGAGGGAGTATCTTTATACTCTGGCCTGAATGACTGCATTTTCACAGCCCCATTGATCTTAGTTCACTGCCAGGCATGAGGCCTCAGGGCCTCCTGGCCAAGCACGTCCCAGAATCCTGTCCCGGGATGTGAGGCTCCCCCGCCCTGAGATAGCGCTGGAACCCCTCAGCCTCCACTGGCACCTGTGGTGGCCCTCACGGGTACATCCCCACCTGGGGCACGGGCCCCGGAACGTCCGTGTCCCGTTTGCTGCCCACAGGGCCCCGAGTGTGGACCTGTCCCAGCCTCTGGGCGCCAGCATCCAGGTGGGCCCCGAGTCTGTTCTCACGGTGCCATCTGCCGACGCTCGGCTGCCGAGCTGACCGCCTGCCCAACAGCTTCCTGAAAACGTCCTCCCCAGTGGCGACCTTGGCCATATTCCCTTCATCAGGCTTGTGTTCTCTCCCCAAACTTTCATTTTATTCCATTAAATAGTATGGCTGTCAGCAGAATGGCTTCCACAACATTAGCACATTTGAGATTTCAGGCCTGGGTCACTGCTGTGGGTCTTGTAGGCCCTGCCACCGCGTTTTCTTTCGGCAGCTCTTGTGGAACGTTCCTGAAAGCATCCGCTTCCCAGCCTGCATGGGCGAGTTCACAGCCGGGGGGCAATGCCAGCAGTGGGATGGCTGTGCCCACGCCATCCTCTGCTCTGCGCTGGGGACTGCTCCTTCCCCGCAGAGCCCTGTGTCCCCCACCAGCCGCCTCGCTGTGTCCTCCCCTTACTGGGAAGCCCCTCTGGCCCCCTCTGCGGGAGGGGTCAGGGGTTCTGGGGTCTGGACCAACTAGGAGGCGTGGGGACGAGGCATTTGGAGGGTGTGAGGGTGGTCAGTGAGGCGGGGGCAGCGGGGACTGAGGGAGTGGGGGGCCCAGCTGGAGCTCAGAGGACCCGTATATACTGTAAGGTGGATGCGTGTCCTCATGCACCTGCCCAGACCCTCAGAATGCACATCACCGAGCGTGAACTTGACATGAACCGTGGACTCTGGGTGATGATGCATCAGTGCAGGTTTGTCTCCTGGGACAAAGGTACCTCTCTGGTGGGCATGTCCATCATGGGGGAGGCTGTGCATGTGCAGGGCCAGCAGGAAATGGGAAATGTCTGTAACTTCCTCTCAATTTTGCTTTGAACCCACAACTGCAGTAAAATAGAGTCTAGTAAAAAAAAAAAAAAAAAAAAAAAAAAGCTGCCAATGACATGGAGGTGGGGAACCAGCTCTGAGCATCCTGTTGGTCCAGCCCCCATCAGGGCAAGCTGAGCCCCCATCCCCAGGGCAGAGCAGGGGTGAGCTCTCCTGGGAGGAGTGCAGACCCTGCCCCTCCCTATGGCAGGTTCAAGGATGGCAGCTGGGGAGGCTGGAAGTAGCTGCCCCTTCCAGGGAGGACACCAGGGCCTCAAGCCTCTGCCTCCCTGAAGTGGGGGCTTCCCCCCCACCCCCCACTCCCACTTACCTCAGCGTTTCCATTACCAAGATGCCTTGGACTTTGAACACCACAAAACTGAGAACAGAGCTTGTTCCTGACCAAGAAAAGGGTGTCACCGGCTGGGATGCTGCAGCCCCTTAAAGGACTCTGTCCCACCCAGCTCACACTGCCCGGCCTAGGGCCAGTCCCCTAGGGACAGCACCATGCTTGAGAGCCGACATGACGTCCCCTGTGCCCAGCGCACCTGCTGCGGACCCTCCACTACTCCTCGCGCCCATCCTGGGGTGCGGGCACCATTGTTAACCCACTGGAGAGTGAGGAGGCAGTGGGCTCTAACCTCACAGTGCCCCCTGCTACTGCATCCCACTGGAACACACATCCCTCAAACCCCTGCTGGTCCTCGGGCTCCACAGCTCCCTCCAGCTCATCAATCCAAGCAGTTTCCACGGTCTTACTTGCACAGCCGAGAATGCCAACTTGGAAGGAAAGGGCCGTCGGAGGGTGGGTGCACGCTGGCTCCCGGGCGCCGGGACCCTTTGAACACACTGGCTGCCATCCCACAGAGGCTCAGCAGGCCAGGTGGGCGGTGCATCCTTATCCTCTCACCACCCCCACCCGCACCTCCAGCCCCAGCCCCCTGGAGCTGAGCAGAGAGCAGCAGGGCAGCGGTGCTGCTGAGCGTGCTCCCCCCTCGGCTGCTCATGTCACCAGCCGCCAGCCGCAAGGACCCCATCCTGGCAGTTTGAATGTGTGGGCACCCCTGCTCCCTCCTGGAGAGGCCACTGGGATGGGGAGCACGCAGGAGGGGAAGCTCTTTGGACAGCAGACGGAGGTCCCCAGCTGCTCTTGCTGCCCCCACCTAACATAGAGCCTCTCTGTCCGGCTCGTCCAGGGCCTTCAGGTGCCTTTCCTGGAGCTGTAGACACGCCCCGGGACTGCTAGAAAAGACATCGGTGCTGAAACAGAAAAGCATCACGCTGCAGATGAGCTGCTCAGCTCCCCGCCCCGGGGCTCTGGAGTAACAGTGCTCAGCATCAGACCCTGCAGGGCACAGATCTCGAAGACTGTCTCCCCAAGACCTCTCAAGGCCAGGGTTCTTTTTTTTTTTTTTTAAGATTTCATTTATTTGAGAGAGAAAGAGATAGTGAGAGAGGGCATGAGCAGGGAGAAGAGGGAGAAGCGGGCTCCCTGCAAGCAGGGCACCTGATGCGGGACTGGATCCCAGGACCCTGGGATCATGACCTGAGCCGAAGGCAGATGCTTAACCAAATGAGCCACCCAGGCGCCCCTCAAGGCCAGGATTCTAAAAACATCTTTTAAACCTTTAAATTCCTTCTTTAAAGGAAAACGTGCCCACAAGGGCAGTAAGTAAAATGAAGGAACATAGAAGTGCTTGGGTTTGGTTTTTTTTTCATGCTTTATATACAATGTTAGTTTTGATTTTGGGGAAGATCAGCCTGAGGTCTGCTTCCTCTTCCTTGTGCAGTGCTGGCATCCTGGGGTCCCCAACAGCTGTGCTCTGGTGACAGGCATACCTGACTCACCTCTACTCGGGCACAGAACAGGGGACCTGCAGGACCCCTGGGCGCATGCCTGCACTTTCGCAGGGGACATGACCGAGGACCAGCTGGGAGCCCCTTGCAGTCTGGCCTCTGTCCTCTTCCTGTCCCGGCAGAGAGCTCTCCCAGGGCAGGGACCCACCAGGAGCGTGAGGGTGTGCACCGAACGAACGGGTCATTGCGGCAAGCTGCGGACTTCCCCCTTTGGGTCTGCACGGGAAGAGGATGGCAATGGTCAGGTGTGGTTCAGGCTTGCTGCTGCAGGACTTCTCAGAGCGTTCAGATCACAGAGCTGCGGGCGTGTGGGAGGCACCCGGGTGGGGGGGATTAACCCGCTGGGTTAATCAGAATGACACCAAGCAAGACGGTCAGGTGCTCGGGCTCACTAGCCTCGTTCCGGATGCTTGGGAGCCACGTGGGCACCCCTCTGTAGTGGACAGCAAAGAACAGAACATTCCCATCATCACGGAATGTCCTATAGGACCGTGCTGCTCTGAGTCATTGGATCTCCAAATGGGGCCCACACCAGCCTCCCCCAGAACTCGTCCTCTGCGATGCAGATTCTCCGGCCCCACCCTGGCCCCAGGCAGCAGCCCTCCCCACCCCCACCATGTGTGCCCCAGCCCTCCCGGACAATCCTGCCCCAGCTGGAGGCTGAGGACCCCTGTATGAGTCACAGACGGGGCGGCGGTGGGGGGGGAGGGTGTTGCTGTTTCTGTTTCATTTCTGTGGCTGGGATATCTGGTTTCGTTTCTGCTAGTGCTGCTCATGGGGAGTGAGCCACACAGCATATAAGAGGGAAGCGGAGAAGGACGGGGTGACTCTCCCGGTGTGCGTTGAGGAGGCACGGAGGTAAGAGGGGGACCCCCCGGCAGCCGTGCAGGGAGGGCTGCGTCACCATGTCTTTCTGCAACAGTTCTGCTACAGTTCGTGCTTTTTCAAAGGATTTCCCGGGAAACATGGCTTATGCCAGAAGGCAGGAGGCAGAAAGACAAGTTTCTGAAGGTGCCCCACGGGAGATTTGGGAAGGCCTGGGTTGGTGCTGGCCCCCAGCCAGGCCTGCACGCCCAAGGTGCGTTCTAGAGGAGGTGGCTGGCCTGGAGGCACGGGGCAGCCCCCCATCCTGAAGCAGACCAAAGGCCCTGTGGCCACAAAGGGGTGGCTTCTGGGACGCCTCGCTCAGCATCCGTGGTGCACACGCGTCTGGGGGTGGGGTGGGAGCTTTGCGCCCCCGTGATGTTGTGAATTATAACAAGATACATTAACTCTCATCACCCGGCTATGTATTACAGTAATGTAGTTAATACGCTGTATTGCGTATTTGGAAGTTGCTTAGAAAGTAGTGTTTTTTTAAAGATTTTATTTATTTATTTGACAGGGAGGGCCAGAGAGCACAAGCTGGGGAACATTAGAGGGAGAGGGAGAAGCAGGCTCCCCGCCAAACAGGGAGCCGGATGCGGAGGCTCGAATCCAGGATGCTGGGATCGTGACCTGAGCAGAAGGCCGACGCTTAACCATCTCAGCCACCCAGGCACCCCACAGAAAGTAGATATTGAAAGTCCTTATCAGAAGAAAAATGTCACAATGTATCGAGACAGACGTTAACTACATTTATTGCAGTGATCATTTTGCAATATATACAAATATCAGAAAAATATATATATATATATAATTTTATCTTCATCCTGTTCCTGGTGCAGAGCTGCTAAAACCCTTGGGATTTCCCAAATGGAGAGAGCATTGTCTTGTGTTATGTTAATAAGGTGACTTTGGAAAGCATCCTAGGGTAGGGCTGGCCTGTGATTATTGTTGAAACTCTCGGTCCCGCCCCCGACCTCCAGGGAGGGAGAGGGGCTGGAGGTTGAAGCAGTTCTGTCTGTGCAATGAAACCACCATAAAACCCAAAAGGAGAAGGTTTGGAGCAAGCACTTCCAGGCTGGTGAACACGGGGGACTGTGGGGAGCGTGGTCCCTGGAGGGCACAGAAGCTCCGCCCCCTTCCCCCCCACCCCCGGACCTCGCCCTGGGCATCTCTTCCATCTGGCTCGTCCTGAGTCACATTCTTTTGTAATAAACCGGTGATCTAGTAAGTTCTCTGAGTTCCGTGAGCCACTCTAGCAAATTATTGGAACCCCAGGTGGCGGTGGTTGGAACCTCCGATCTGTAGCCAGTGGGTCCGAAGCAGTTGACACCTGTGGCTGGCATCTGCGGGGGGCCGGTGGGGGTGCGGTGTGCGCGGAGCAATCTGCTGGACCCAGCCCTTCGCCTGTGGCATCAGATGCTATTTTGGGGTAGGTTGTGAAAGAACTGAGTTACTCGGAAGAAAACCCACATGGCGGAACTGGTGTCAGACTTCGAGCCCCCAAGCCTGGTCTCGGGGCTTCGGGTGCCTTCTTGCTCGTGGCTTCAGTGGCACCGGGCCCCCTCAGTGGCGCGCTGGAAGGACAGGGCACCTGCTAGCATTTGGCAGGCCCCGTGGCACTATGTAGTGTAACACGGCGCCTTCGAAGTGTTACTTCGAGAGAGACACTGAGGCCAGGTCCTCCCAGCAAACAGGCATTTGCAGGGAACAGATGAGCGTAAACCACGGAGTGTTCGCATCCCAGGGCCACCGAAACAAAGTGCCCTGCGCTCGGTGCCTTGAATAGTAGAAACTTCTCGTCTCCCAGCTCTGGAGGCTGGAGCTCTGAGATCCAGGTGTCGGCAGGGCTGGTCCTTCCTCGCCTCTCCCCGCTTCTGGCCATTGCCAGCAAACCTGGCATTATTTGGGGAAGCTATCTCAGGGCGCGGTGGGGGTTCCCGGGTCGTGCCAGCGGCCGCAGGGTCAGCCACGACACAGGAGCAATTCCGGCAGGCTTCCCAGCACAGCCGGAGGTTCGGCTCCTCCCCGCCGCTCACACCGAGCCCCGGGGTTCAGCCAAGGACCGAGCGGAAGTTTAGACGCGCATCTGTGAGTAATAACGCCTTCCTGCCTGTTTCCTGGAAACTGACGAGTTCCCGGTGAACCCGAGTTTTGTCCTTGTATTCTGCTTTCAAGAGAAACAAAATTTCTTGATTAGCGTGAAAGGAAGCAAACTATCCCCACAGGTCTGAGTGGTCGTACAGACTGGGCCCAATCGTGCCAATTTTAGAATAACCTTAAAGGCGCAGCAAGATGCCAGGTCCAAGGGGGACAAATTAGAAATGGATGCCGTGTTCTCCCCTCTGCGGGCAGAGCTCGGCCCTTGGCTGAACCCCCGGGGAGGAAGAGGAAGTGCAGAGACACAGAGACGCCAGGGGTGCGTGTACAGAAGATGACCACGTGAGGACACAGGACGCGGCGGCTGTCTGCGTGCCGTGGAGAGAGACCACGGAGAGAGGCCACAGGAGACACCAGTCCTGTCCACACCTGGGTCTCAGACTTCCAGCCTTCAGACTGTAAGAGAAGAGATTCCTGTTGTTTGAGCCTCCCAGGCTGTAGGACTGTGCCGGAGGCCCCAGCGGGACTCCTCTGGGGTGAGGGGTGTGGAAACCCAAGAGAAATTGTGCCCCATGGAGGGGGTGATCAGTCACGAAGCTGTTGGGGGTCAAGTCAGGTGAGGACTGAGCGTGACCTTCCCAGTTTGCATTTTGCATTTTTGTCTGATAACAAAGGGGCAGATAAATATTTGAAATAGTTCAAATGTTGCAGAAATTTATATATCTATAAAGAAATAAGAAGGTTCGACAGTATCTGGTATCTTGAAACGTTTTCATTGTCTTGAACACCCAGTAATAACAAGAAGTTATTAAGTTATTAAGTTAAGAAAGGGCTCCTGGGTGACTCAGTCAGTTGAGCGTCTGACTCTTGGTTTTGGCTCAGGTCATGATCTCAGGGTCGTGAGATCGAGCCCCATGTCAGGCTCTGTGCTCAGCATGGAGTCTGCTCAAGATTCTCTCTCTCCCTCTCCCTCTGCCCCTCCCCTGCTCGTCCTCTCTCTCTCAATACATAAATAAATAAAATCTTAAAAAAAAAAAAGAAGTATGTAAAGAGAAGACAGACGTAGGCTGAAAACCAGAGTGCTCAGCACCACAGCCTGACCAGAGGGGGCCTGGGGTGGGCTCCCGGTGAGGGGGGCATGGACACCCAGGGCCATTTGGAGAGATGCGGAACCGGGATCAGACTCTGGGGCTTGACGCACGGGCTGGAACAGATCTGTACAGACCTCTCTCCTACGGTGTTCTTACAAACCCGGGAGGCCTGGGGACGAGGGAGCCGTCGCAGGAAATGGGGGAAAGCCCGCTGCTGGGCAGCCCCACCCTAGCCGGGGGACGGACGCAGGCTGCAGGTGCCACGGGCGGAGGGGAGGGCACAGGGTGTCAGGGAGCAAGAACTCTTGCCCTTCAATGTCCTTGAAGCTGGACTGAGAATCACATTGCCCCGAGGCAGTTTAACGGGAGAAAATCTAATTTAACAGCGTGCGTATGGGATCCACACAAACATGGATGTTCCGGACGGTCAGGCGGCGGGAGGCACACATGTCAGCCTGAACGGAGGAGGAAGGGCCGGGGGTCTGGGACTCTGGAGGGACGCCCTTCACGGGGCGACAAGAAGAGCAAGAAGGGCAGCTGTTTGCTGATTAGATGGTTGCCCCGCCATATAGATAAAATGTATCCCTGCTGAGAACCCTTGTTCTGGAAAGACCCCCAGCTCAGATTCTTGTATGGAGTTAAGGGAGGGGCAAAGTTTCTCCTGAGCCCGCAGGGTCTCGGTTGCCTTCAGCTCAAGGCAATCCTCCTGCCAAGCAGCCCCTTCACCCCTGACCAAAAGAAATACCGGAGAGTTCCATCGATTACTTGTTGCTGTGAGGTCCAAACAGCTCAGTAACAGAGGTTGTGTGGTGTCCCTCAGGTGTCTCTGTGTACCCCTGAGAAATCTTAAATAAGCCACAAGTGCCCCTGCAAGTTTGCGGAGGCTCCCCAGGCTGCCCCGGCGCACAGTTTGGGAACCATCGCCTGACGATTCTGGGTAATGCCTTTTCTTCTCCTGCATGTCACTCAGGGGCTGACCTGTGATGTAGGTAACCTCGTCACAACTTGAGGGTGCCTTCAACAGAGGGGGCACTGTCTCCATGGACCCAGCGCAAGGGATGGTGGGATGAGGTCACTCTGTCGGGTCCCTCTCGAGTCCCGGCTGCTCTAGGACTGGGCGGACGGTCGATGGTGGGCAGAGGCTCCAGGAGAGTCCATTTTGAGGGTGGCAGGGTCGGAGACGAGCTCAGGCCACCCTTCTGAGCTTGTCCTGTCTGTGGCCTGGGCAGGCACACGGGTCTGGGTTTTGTGACTCGTCCTCGGGTCAGCCACACCCCCACTCTGTCTCATGCTGGGAAGGAGACAAGCAACAGTGTCCATCCAACGAGGATCCCCTGGAGGTGATCAGGGATGCAGGCAGAGGCCCAGGGACGATGTAGAACAACTCCGTCCGTTCCCTGTCCGCTGTCCCTCGGTCCAGATGGCACCTCCTCCAGGCGAGGGAGCCCTCGCCTCCGGTGGGCCTCCTCCTGTCCTCGGTCACGGTCCCCCCTGCGTCCCACCCTTTACCTACCCTTGGGGCCTCTTCTTCCTCTGGGTTGCCGGCCTGGACCCTGCAAGGTCTAGTTGGGAGTGGGGGCCGGCAGGGTCCCACTCGGGTGCTTTCGCAGCCGATGAGAGGGAGGGAAGGAAGGAAGCCCTCTCTCCGGGGGTGGCCTCGCTGATCCCCGAGCATGACCAGCCATCTTTCCCCTGCCCATGCGTCTCCCCGCTGGCACGTCCTCCTGTCCCTCCTGTCTCCTCCTATCCTGTGTGCCACCATTTATGATCTCTATCTTACCAAAGACGAATCTGTGCTCCTAACTTGATCAGATCCTGCTGCCCCATCCCGCCACGCAGTCCCAGGAGTGGGTATTTCTCCACGCTCACTTCCCTGGGGCCTCTCTGCGGCACGGCTGTGTCTTCAGCTGCGACCCCTCCTTCCGGGCCCGCAAGCTCCCACCAGGAAAGGCGGAGAATGTATGGCCCTAAAGACCATCTCTCGCATGCACCGCTGTAAATTGCCTGTAAAACGGTTACCCAAAACTGGGTTCGCCTCTTGCTGGCGTCGCGAGCCAAAGGGCGTGACCAACCAAGCCCAAGAATAGGACAAGGAAGGTGGTACTTGGAACAAGCAAAGAACACCGGGGATATTTCCCGAAGCAGTGTCTCCTCAAACAACAGAACTGGGGAAGGTTTACGCTAAGGGCGCGTGCATATTCATGGCGGGGTTTGGGCAATGGGGGACGCAGTGCGGACTTGGGGCAAAGCCATCTTAAGGGACAGAGTCCGGGTCCTAGGTGATGGAAGGCACAGGGCCAGCCAGGGTGACACCATCAGTTCTCTGGGTCCAGTTGGTCCGGAATCTGCGTGCTCACGGGGTTAGATCCTGCAGTGATGACTCAAGAGTGTGTTGGGCCAATCTTTTACTTTTGAACAAGCCCTGGGAGTTTTATCACCGATTGATTGTCCCCGATACCATTAGGCTATCTCCTGGCCTGATGGTAGCTGTTTGTTCTTCCATTCTTTTTTCCCTTAAAATCCTTAACTACTGGGCTCTATTCTTCTGCAGTTTCAACATATCCCAGGAGGTTCTGCAAGAAATGTGCTTTGGGCAAGTGCAGGTCAGGCCCAGAATCCAGGATGGCCCGGGCCTAAAATGACCTTTGTTATGTCCAGAAAGTTGTATCTCATCTTTCTTTTTCTGGGGACCCCTAATTCTCTCTTCTTGCAAAATCTTAGAACAAGAATAAGGCCTGGTAAGACTCTGGGGACGAGAGCCAAAAAGCATGGCAAGGCCCACGACCCTACGACTCCCCCTGATTCACTTTCGAGCCTCCTTGCCGCCAAGGGGGAGGGGACACAGACCGACTGTGTCCTTTACTCTTTGACAAAAGGGAGCCCTTGATTTGCCGGGAGAGCAAACTCCTCAGCTTGGCTCTCTGCGAAGTAATGTATTGTGTGTTTATATCATGGAGGTTACCATAACTTACATGATTTCCTTATTTAAGGAGATTCAGCAAGTCCACGGATTTGTTCTTGAGGTCTCCCCTGGGTCTGCGTGCAGGGGTGCATGGTGTGAGGTTGGACGAGGCGGGGCTGGCAAAGGTCCGGCCTGGGAGGAGACTGCCTGGGGACAGTGGGTCACTCTGCTATCCTGTGTCTTTACAGAGCTTGTCGGGCAGACGCAGTGCTGAGCAAACGGGCAGCACTCCCACCAGCTCTAACTCAGTGACGGCTAATGTCTAAGACCCACGCTTCTCGGCCATACCAGAGGCGCAAGATGTTTTGGCCCCAACAGCAACCAAAAAAAGAACTGAATTTCTTCCACCAGCAGCCCCCGCCACCCGGCGAGGCAGCAGGATACATGATTTGTCCCCCGAACGGTCAGGTCAGAGGGCAGGATCCAGCTTATCTCATCAAGGAGTTCCACACGCTGGCACTGAACCCTCAGCAGCCAGAAGGAAGCAGGGGCCAACAGAAGGCAAAGGTAAGTCATGCAGAGGGACTTCAGGAAGGGTGCATTCCAGCCGCTGGCCAGAGGTGAGTGCCCCAATCACAGCCATAAACCCACAAGTCTGGTCCAGTCCCACCAGGAAAGCCGGTGCCCCGCAGTCTCCCAGGCACCTGCAGCAAGCCCCAGGGACGTACCCGATCTCTGAGGCAGCAAACCTGGGGCTTCTGTTCCCTCCCTCCCAGCGGAGATTTCCTGCAGCTGCTGTGGTCACTGCCACCATTGCTAACCCACCCCACTCCCCACCCCACCCCTGCTCGGCAGCCCAGGGCCTGGCTCCTGTCCTCCCTCTGGCCAGGAGCTCCCACCCCTGCGTGCTTTCTCCCTGCTCAGTGAGGCACCTCCCAGCCAGCTGGCCCCACATCAGCAGAAGCAAAGCCTCTGCAGGAAGAGAACACGGGCACCTCCCGGAGGCCCTCCTACCTCCTTTCTGCACCCCAACATCAGTGGAGGTACACATTCTGCCCCAAATTCCCAGTGATGATGGGAATCCTGCCTCTTCCAGGGCCCTGAGCACATCCTGGCTAGCCAGTACGAGGAGAAGGTGCGCCCCTGCATCGACCTCATCGATTCCCTGCGGGCGCTGGGCGTGGAGCAGGACCTGGCCCTGCCCGCCATCGCCGTCATTGGGGACCAGAGCTCGGGCAAGAGCTCCGTGCTGGAGGCTCTGTCGGGCGTTGCCCTCCCCAGAGGCAGCGGTAAGCACCCTGGCCAGCTTCGCTTCGCAGCCTGCTGGGCCACCCGCGGGCCACAGAGCATCCCTGGGGGGGCAGCAGCTTCAGAGACAGGCCCTGGAAGGCTTAGGTCTGCAGCGCAAGGCCTGGGCTGGCTGGCGGAGGCGGGGAGGGGGATCCCCTGTGGCCCCCGGGTTTCTGACCCCCTTTTACATCAGTAGCTCTCCCTGGGCCTGGGTCAGTCGAGGCCCAGGGACCTTGCGTGTTTTTCCAGTGGTCTCTGTAAAGAGTGTAGAAACATTTCTTTGACCACGTTGAATTTCTAAGTCTCAGGGGACATGTGAAAAATTTTCTCAACGTTTGGAAAAGCGATTAGCCAGGATCGTAGTGTGATAAGACACACTTTTCCTTGAAAAAAAAAAATACTGAGTGTGTATAGAGTCAAAAGGCTGTTGTACGTTTATGATTTAATAAAATAAAGGGGAAAAGGAAGGGAAGAAGGAAATGGTGCCCTCCAGGTGGGTTGGAGGAGGCTCCGTCCGGGTCCCTGGCCCTGAGCCCTCTCCTGCCAGTGCGGCCGTAGCCCAGACCCGACCGGAACCCAGGGGTCGGGGGCCACCGATGCCGTGTCATCTGGGCTGCCCCCGGGCACAGAGGAGGGTGTGGGGAGCCCAGAGGGCTGTCCAGGTCCTGCACAGCCCCCATCAGCCGCTGCCACACCAGGCACCCTGGCCTGTGCCCTCTCCTGGCCACTGGCAGCCTGGTCCTAGACACCAGGGTGTCCTGTGAGGTCCCCGTCAGCCCAGCCGGGCACATGATGCATGAGGGAGGAAGGGTCTGGAGTGGTCGCTCCTCTGCTCTGCCCTGGGCTCCGCATTCTGGGGGGAAGTGCAGCATGGTGGAGGGTCCGGGTACCAGTGGCATGCCTGTGACTCTGGCGTGTCCCCAGGCTGGAGGAGGAGATGATGCTGGCCCTTCTGGGGCCAGGAATATAGAGGACACATGCGGTGCTCGGGGCCTCGCCACAGGAACGCCCAGCCCCGAGAAGCAAGGGGCAGTTCCAGCCTTGAGTCCCGAGAATGCCCTTGAACCCCCTCCTTCGGATGCCCAGACTCTTGCCCTGGCTCTAGCTACCTTCTCCCCGCACCCTCCAACCCCAAGTGTGAGGGGCTTGGAGGGGGTGGGACAGGTCTCACCGCTCCACACGTCCATCTGTCCTCTGCCCTCTGCCCTCTGCGGCCGCCTGGACAAAGGCTCGTCCCACGGCCAAAGCCCGACTGAGACTCCAGCGCAGGCATCCTGGGGAGCCCTCAGATACACAGAGCCTCACCTCGGGCTTGTGTGGCTTCCAGAGCAGCACGGCAGGGACAGGAGGAGGAAGGAAGGTCGGCCTGGAGGCTCAGTGACCACAGAGCACAGGGCCCCCCGGGGCAGGGGGGCAGCTGCAGTGCCTCTGTCCTAGGACCTGGGCACTTTCGTGCCGCCCGATCCAGGCCCCCATCGCTCCCCAGCCTTGGAGAGGGGCTGAAATCTCAGACGGGGACTCTGGGAATGCCGGGGCAGCTCCTTGGGGGGTGAGGGGAAAGGGCACCCGCGAGCCCTTCTTTTCAAGGGAACTTAGAATGTTTGGGACACTGTCTCAGGGATTGTGACCAGGTGCCCGCTGGTGCTGAAGCTGAAGAGGCAGCCACACGAGAGCGCGTGGAGGGGGAAGATCAGCTACCGCAAGACGGAGCTCCAGCTCCAGGACCCCTCCCAGGTGGAGAAGGAGGTCCTCAAAGGTAGGAGGCCCCGGGGGTCTGCAGGGGCGGCTCTGGGGGCCGCTCCCTGGCCGTCCTGGCTCCTTCTCCGCCTCCTGGTCATCGGGCCTCTTCCTCCCAGGCTCTTCCGTGTGCTGGGCCTCCTCCCTCGCACGCCATCCCCTCCTCTGGGAATTGCCCCCCGCAGAACGCCCCACCCCCGTCTGGGCCACGGCTCTGCAGATTATTAAAGCGGATTCGGAACGTGGGGGGCTCCATGTGACTGATAGCGAACATAGCCTCTCTCCGTGACTTCCGGGCTCAGCTCCCCAGGAACCCCATGTCTGCAGGCCTCAAATGGCTCGGCAGAGGGATCTCCTGCAGAACGGAGAAGTCCTGCTCCCGGTTCTTGTGCTCACCCCTGATGACCACCCCGCCAGGCGGTCCTGGTGAAGGGTCCTCCAGCCCTGATGCTCCAGGACTCGCTTTCTGTTCCACGGTGGATCCGTGGCTAATTCCAAGAGGAGGAGGAGGAGGAAGGAAGGTGTTGAGGAGAGAGGCCACACTGGGGGACAAGGCCAGGTGACGGGGGAGCATCGTCCTTATGTCTCCATGCTTCCCCTTGAGCCGGTGACCAGTGACCTCTGTGTCCTTGCCCTTGGCATGTGTGTCCCACGACGTTTTCCATCGATACTGCCCCCTCCCCCTCACCTAGGCCATCTAAGCTTCCTTTCATTTCTGGATTTCCCTGGCCCTCATCTGGTCTGCAGCAGGGACTCTGCCTGGGGGCTTGTTGGCACTGCAGAGTCCCAGGGAGACACCCCAGACCTGCCCAGTCAGAATCTGGACTTGAACCAGGCTCCACAGTGGGTCCCCTGCACTCAGAGTGCCGGGCCAGCTACGTGACTCAGGCGCTCAGTGCAAAGTCAGACTGCAAGACCCCCCCGACCCCGTTCAGAATTACCAAGAATTACAAGACCATGAAGCCAGGAGAGGGGCCCCTCTGAACATGGGGACAGCTCAGGCCCCACGCACATGAAGCGGGTCCTTGCTCTGAGATGTATGCACGAGACATCTTAGTCGGTGCCTGTTCTGGTTGTGACGTGAACAGCCTGTGGGAAGACTGTTTTTTTCCAGCTCACCTACAGGGGTGCTCCCAGGAAGGGACGAGATCCCCTTGCGTGTCTGGTGGCCCCCGCCTACCCGAGGGCATCTGGACATCCCTGTGGGTGACAGGCAAGCGAGGTGCACGCACAGCCAGGCAGCTGGGCAGATGGTGGAAGTGCCGGGGGGGGGGGGAGGGGAGGAGAGACTGTCTCAGCTCCGCCCACATGTCCTCCTTCCGGCCTTGAGATTTGCTCTGCGAAGCTCTCGTGGGGATCCCCGGGGCCCACATCTGCACGTCTGTCCTTCCTCCCCGCACCAGTCTCAGCTTGCGGATGTGATGGAGGCTCCCTGTCGATGGCACAGAGGGTCCGTCTTTACGGACACTTGGGTTTTCATGACAGTTGTGCGCACCTTCCAATTTCCGACCCAGCCCGGCCGTCCACTGGCCACCCTCTAGGAGGACGGAGACCGTCCTGCCACATCAGCAGAGCTCGAGGCCAGCTCAAAAAGAAAAAAGTCACACACCGTCACTTCCGCCATCTGTCTTTAGACAGAGGTCCCTACGCCCAGCCACTCGTGCAAGGGCTCACCTTTTGGAGGTAAAAAGCATAAAGAGAGCAGAACCCATCCGTAATCCCACTGTGAGCATGTGGTATGCTTCCCGCCAGGCTTTCGGAGGCGCTGTGTGTTCAACAGCCCCCCGAGGGGCCTCAGAGACCACTCCTCGGGCCTCTGTGAAGTGTTTCCTGAGCACCAGGGGCTCTCGGAGGCTCCTACAACTGCTTTTCCTCGGATGGGTCGTTAATCTGGACCCTGGGTTTCCCCTCTCTCGGCCTCCACAGCCCAGAACACCATAGCTGGGAACGGAGTTAGCATCAGCCATGAGCTCATTAGTCTGGAGATCACCTCCCCTGAGGTTCCGGATCTGACCCTCATTGACCTTCCCGGCATCACCAGGGTACCTGTGGGAAACCAGCCCCAGGACATTGGACTGCAGGTGAGCTTTTCTGGAACTGGGAATGGGCCAAGCTGAAGATGGGGAGACTTCTAGGTCTCTGTGGGCAGCCCCAGGGGCTCTGGAGCGCCTCCCCTGCCCTCGTTCTGAGTGGTTGGGGAGGAGACTGGGGGAGCAGTGCCCAGGGCACAGGGGGCAGAAGCTGTCACTCCCCGACGCTCTCCAGTGGCCCCACGTCCATCAGCATGAAAGCTGCCAACGTCCAGTCTGCTCTGGCCCCACTAGCTCATTGGCCGCATCTCTCACTGGGCCCCGTTCCTCACCTGCGCCAGCCACACCGGAGTCCTCGACGGTCCTCGAGCACTCCAGCTTTGCACCTTCTCTTCCATCCCTCTGCCCAGATTTCCACATGGCACATTCCCCTACTTCCTCCAGAGCTCTCCCAAATGCCACCTTTTCCGGGATGCCCTCCCTGATGCCCAGTACCCCGCACCTGGTCCTTCCACTTCTATTCACCGTCCCTGTTGAGTGTCTGCGTTTCCTCCTGGGACAAAAACCCCCGAGGGACATCGCCTGTGTGTTCAGTGCTGAATCTCTAGATCCTGGAAAGGACCTACCACCTGGGGGTGCCCGTAATGTTCGTTGCATGAACTGAAGGTGAAGAAGTATGTTTCCCATAGTGGTTCCTACCCCAAGCCTGTTTTCCCCCCAGAGACGTCAGCAATGTCTGAGACATTTATGGTTGTCACAACTTGGGAAAGAGGGGCTGACCGGCATCCAGTGGGTGGAGACCAGAGATGCAGCTGGATTTTCTATAATGCACCAGCTGGCCCCCCCAGCAAAGAGCTGTCCATCCCAGATTGTCCCACAGTGCTGAGGTGGAGAAGCCTGGATGGTCTGTTCCCTTGTGGACATCGCAGAACAGGTGCTATGCAAGGGTGTAGCCGAGGGGATAAAGACCAACAAGAAGACACTTAAGGACAATTCACGTTTAACGTGAATTTATTCTATAACGTTATTCCATAACGTGAGTTTATTCCATAAACTCGCTTACAGAAATTGATTATAACTTTACTCAGTGAAATTTTCCCACAGCTAAGACCTAACTGGTCCTGTTTGTATTTGTCATTTTTATTTGACCCCAGCACTTAATTGTTTATAGGATGCTAGGCTGTGCTTACGTGATGCGAATTTCCTGTTTGTGTCTATGCAGTGTTATTTTCTGTGTGCAACTTAAAATAATTTTATGGGGCATCATGAGAGCAAAACTATGTGTGAATTGTACCAAAATATTAAAAAAAAAATACATCCCTAGGTGCCAGACTTTTCCATTTTGGTTTGTATTGTCCATGGGGAATAATATTTTTGAAATTTGAAATGTAAGGCTTATGCTGCCCACATCTCTCTTTGCCTATAGATTCTAAGAAATTTTATTGGATTTCTCTAATCTGAGTGAGCTAGACCCCTCCCAAGAACAAACTCCAGAAAAAGACATTAATATTAGGAATGAACACATGTAGAGATATTATTGACATCAGATACTATTGTAGCAGGCACTGAGCACCTGCCACTTGGGGCCCCATATGGGACTCGGCATGGGGATACTGAGCTGACACGTGAGAGGTCACAAAGGTACCCCTCGGCTTCTGAGGCAAATAGGACACATACACAAACACTGTAAGAGAAGGCAGACTCTCAGAGGCATCAGAGAGATTTGGAGAAGAAGGAGAGGTCTAGTCTGGCTACAGGAATCAGAGAGTCTGTGGGAAAGAAGACATACCAGCGGTGGGGTTTGAAGGGAAGTAGGAAATCAACAGAGAACCCAGAAAGGGCAGATGGGGCAGGCATGTCCGAGGAAAGGGGTTGGCCAAGTCAACGCCCAGAAGTGCGAAAACTGGGTCATGCTCTTGGAAATTGGCTTTTTGCAATCACACCTGTCTAGCTGTGTTGTTGGTTGACCAGAGATGTGCTCTTCCTTTGCGTGATTTTTTTTTTTTTTTTTTTTTGCATCAGATCAAGGCACTCATCAAGAAGTACATCGAGAAGCAACAGACGATCAACTTGGTGGTGGTCCCCTGCAACGTGGACATCGCCACCACAGAGGCGCTGAGCATGGCTCAGGAGGTGGACCCTCATGGAGACAGGACCATAGGTAAGAAGAGAGAACCAAGCTCGCAGAGGACAGAAAGGAAGGGGGAGACTTCTCATATATTTAGAAGGTTCCGGAGTGTAGCACTATTAAAGACAAGTTCTACTCCCCGCAGAAGCTCCATGGGCTCAGGGCGCCTTCACACACTGCAGATGGCAGTCTCCCCTCAGTCAGGGTGAGGGGTGTGGCCAGAATTTGGAGGTTCTTCGTCCTCCTTCCTCTTGGCCCTCATTTGCGTTCACAACCCCTTCTGGATCGGGGGCAAGAACTGCCTTGTCTGCTCTCCCACAATTATCTGGAAAGGAGAAAGTGACCGGCGCATCAGCCCTACCATTCCACAGGTAAAGGTCTTGGGACCTGCTGGTACATGGAAAGGGCCTTCATCAGGCCCCAGTGAACATTCTACTGGGCTGATGTTGGGGTGCGAGAGTCTGCAGCGTTGGTATTCAAGCAGAAGTCTTCGTGGGGAGCTGGATTCTCTTAAATTTCTTCTAAAAAAAAAAGTCACCCTGGGACTTGTTACAGGGAACTTGGTTTAAGGGTGCACACAGTCTGGGTTTGAATCCTTGTTCTAGCCCTTACTGGCTACAAAGCCTTGGGTAATATATTTAACCACTCCTGGCCTCACTGTCTTCATCCACGAACTGTTATCACAGTCACACCTATGTGTTGGGTGGTTGGGAGGATTCCATGAAGAAATATCGTATAGGATGGTCCTTAGGGCTATGCATGTAGTATTTTCTCAGCAAATGAGAGCTGCTATTTTTTTATTAGTAATATCATCACTCAACATCACTTTGTCACCAATCATTCCACCTACCCAGAGAATTGACCCTCCTGAAACTTTGCAGGTCATGTCCCTGACGAAATGCAAACTCGGCATACAATTGCCTTTCCCTTTTCTTCCAAAATAAACGCCTGGTTTCCCAGTAAGGATAGAAATGAATATTAGGGGCATAGACGTCAAGCATAACGTTTCACTCTGTGCTAGATCACCCTCGTGCCCTGTTAGCTGTCGACTTCTGCAAGCATCACCAACACACCGACCCAGAGAGAACACTCAGGCTTTGGGTCACTGCTCATTGTAGCTCTGTGCTCTTTGTCCTCTCTTGATCCCAAGTCAGGAAGGATGTCTCACTGGCGACCACAGTAGGTAACATCATCTATCTCATAGGGTCAGCTATCTGGATATTGATATGTTTATAGAACGGGGGCGACCAGGAGTTAGTGGGTGAGTACAGAGCTTCAGTTCTGCAAGATGAAGTGAATCCTATTGGGGGGTGGGGCGCGGTTCACAACCGTGAGGATCCCGGATGCCGCTGAACCATCCACTTTAAAATGGCCCAAACGGTAACTTTTATGTGATGTAGATTTTACCACAATTTTTAAAGATACACGATTTTTATTTATTTTTGTTTTTTTGTTTTGTTTTGTTTTGTTTTAAATGTTTTTATTTATTTATTCATGAGAGTCAGAGAGGCAGAGAAAGAAGCAGGCTCCCCGCCTAGCAGGGAGCCCGATGCGGGACTCGATCCCAGGACCCTGGGATCATGACCTGAGCCGAAGGCAGACGCTTAACCATCTGAGCCACCCAGGCGCCCAAAGATACACGATTTTTAAAAACAGGATAACCGAAGATGGAGTGAAGGAGGAAACATCCTATTTTCATTAGTTGAATTATTCTCTTGCACACACGAGTTATGTGTATCTTGCCACATTTTTTAAAAAAGAGAACTGAATGCCTATCTATACAGTACTTCCAAAGGGTGAAAAGAGAACAAGGCTGATGACTAAGAGTAGTGGTTTACATAATGCCAAGGTTCAGAAAGAACCGGGAGCTGGTACATTTGCAGGTTGTCCGCGAGGCCGGTCCCCCCCCCCAACAGCTAGATGCCCACTGTTCACTGAGCCAGCAGGTTGTCTGCGAGGCCGGTCCCCCCCCTCCAACAGCTAGATGCACACTGTCCACTCAGCCAGCCCCAGCGGGATTCCTGTCGCCACCAAGGTACAGAGATGGCATTTGGTAAGGTCGCCAGTGCCCTCCATGCTGACACACACCTTCACTTCTCTGTCCCCATCTTTCTCCACCTCAGACCCAGTCCGACAGCTGACCACTCCCTCCTTCTCGAAATCTCTCCTTCCTTTGCTGTAACACACAACCCGCTGGCCCCCGGGTCACCATCGCGCTCCGTCTCCTCCTTCACTGGCCACTGGAGGTCACATTCTTAGTCTTGTCTGGTTGTTTCTTCCATTCTCTGACCCCTAAATGTCGGAAACCCAAAACTTGGTTCTGAGATCTCCCCTCTGTCAACATGTGCTCTTTAGGCAAGCTTACTCGTCCGTGGCTTTGAGTGTCTCTATGTGCTGGCAACTCCCAGATCTAAATTTATAACCCTTACCTCTCCCTAGGCTTGACATCTCCACTTGGATGTCTATTAAACGTCTCCGATGTAATGCGACCAAAACACAGCTCCTGATACCCCGCCCCACCTCAGTTCTCCTCCCTCCCACGGCTTCTCCACCTCACAGCACTGCACCTGCCTGCCCAGCTCTAGAGCCAAATCTGAGAGTCACTCGTGACTCCTCCTTCCCCTGCTTCCATGTCTCATTCATCTGGAATCCCGGTGACTCTGTCTCCAAAACTATACCAAGTCTGTCCACTCCTCTCCATCTCCATGCTCACCACTAGACCAGGCCCCCATCATTTCTTGCCTGGATGACTCAAATGTCCTCTGACTGGGTCTCCAGGCACTCACCTTGCCCACTACAGCACCCCCCCACTGGCCTTTAAGCGGGTAAATAAAGTCAGGCCCCTCCTCTGCTTCTACCCTAACGTTCCCACCTCACAGACATAAACCCTGGACCCCTTTCCTGGACAAAAAAGCCTCCTGTGACCTGGCTGCCTATGCCTCTCTGATCGTGGTTCCCATCACTTCTGCCTTGCCCACAACTCTCCAGCGTAGCTGTCATCCCCAGGGCCTGGGATGCTCTTCCACCATCCTCACAGGGCTGGCTCCTTCCTCTCATTCAGATCTCAGCCAAACGCTGCCCTCCCAGAGGCCTTCTTTGTCCACCCAACCCAACACGGCACCATCCGCCCCTGCCTGCACATGACTGGATTTTCATTCTCTGCTTAGCACTTCTCAATATCAGATACTTTTTCTTTATTGCTTGTATATTACTAGACTAATTTATCTGGCTTTTACCCACTGGAAGGTAAGGGGATTGTCACGAAATCAGGGACTTGGCAATCTTGTTCACCGCCATTTCCTCAATACCTAAAGCAGTGGGCTTAATAAGCATTTTTAAATTCAATATGAGTATGTAATGTATTCAGGAAAGAGTTAATTTAAAAAGAAGAAACATTGTTGACAGTGCCCTTCTCCGTGGCCCAGGAGTTGGGACACTGGATGATGCTCATGCCCTGAGGCTGTCGATGGAGGCGTATTTCCTACTTGAGTTCTTGGCTTCAAACTCAGGCACTGGGTGAGAAGGCCCTCTCTTCCCAGCGAGGGAGAGTTCTCATTGCAAACCTCACTCCTTCTTATCTTCCTACTTTTCCTCGGACTACAGTTCAGTGATCTAGCCTTCCCTGGATGACTGCTGGCTCCATGGAGGGGCCTTCGTGGCTGTTGTCGTCCCTCCTGGTGGAGGGTCCTCTCCTTTGCCGGTGGAAGATGCCAGTAGGTTCAGAGACCTGTTGGCTCCCTTAGTAACATGAAGGTCTGTGTGCACACAAACCTTTTAGTGAGTATAAGGGTACACTCTTTTTTTTTTTTAATATTTTATTTATTTCACAGAGAGATAGCGGAGAGAGGGAACACAAGCAGGGGGAGTGGGAGAGGGAGAAGCAGGCTTCCCGCGGAGCAAGGAACCCGATGCGGGGCTCGACCCCAGGACCCTGGGATCATGACCTGAGCCGAAGGTAGACGCTTAACGACTGAGCCACCTAGGCGCCCCCCAAGGGTACACTCTTGATGACCACCTTTGGTAAAGGAAGGTAGAACAGAGAAATTCAACTGCTTAGATGCCAGGAAAGTTTCAGGAAATGATAAGCCAGATAGTCAGACTGAACCACAAACTGAAAACAAGGGCAAAGAGAGTAGAAGATGACGTTAGGTTTCCACCCTAAATAGACAGAAAAATGCAGTGGCTATTTGACACCCTAAGAACATGAGTGGAAATCGATACTCAGAATTCAAAGCATTCCATCCAATCTAAGTGGGAGGCTGTGGGGGCAGCAGGGGGAGAGGGAGGTAGGGAGGACGCTATCCAAGGAGGCCTCCACCCACAGGAAGAGGGCAGAGTGAGTCTGTGACGGGAGATACTAGAGGGGGACCCAGACCGTCTGTCCAGCAGGGAATGATCCATTTCAGGGAACACGGTGGAGCCTGTCTGTTCTGACGATACAGACATGTCTGTTCAATAAATTACACAAGGAAATGACTGAATTGAGTGAGTGGGAGAGCAAATAAAGACGCAGATAAGAGGGGTGGCGATGGAATGCGTGAATGGGGTTTCAGGCCCTGCGCCACCAGAGCTCCAGAAGGCTTCCCGGGTCCTGGCTGAGGAAGGATCCCAGAGCCTAGCAGCACTCACGTGTATGTGAGGAGAAAACTGACCTTTTCCGCTGTCCTTGGCTACTCCTCTCCCAGGAATCCTGACCAAACCAGATCTCGTGGACAAGGGTACCGAACACATGGTCGTGAAAGTGGCTCAGAACCTCACGTACCGTCTGCAGAAGGGCTACATGATCGTGAGGTGCCGGGGACAGGAGGAGATCACCAACAAGCTGAGCCTGGCCGAGGCAACCGAGAAAGAAACGATGTTCTTCCAAGCACATCCGTATTTCAGGTGAGATTCTTTAGGGCCGCACTAGGACTACCCTCTGGGGAAGCCAGCCCTGCCTTCCAGAACTGGCCAAGATGGTGGCCAAGTGATAGAGATCAATGTAGACTATGTCTGTGTTCACCCCGGGTCTGGGGCGGGGCCCAAGAATTTGTGTTTCTATCACATTCCCGGTAGAGGTCAATGTTACCGGGGCAGGGACCACGCTGTGGACACCACCATTCAAGGTCCTTGGGAAAGCAAAGTCTTGGATGAGAAAAGTGCATTGATGTGCTTTGTCGTCCTGCATCCGAGTGGAAATCCTTGAGGGCCCGTGTGCAGGGACTCACCTGTTGCATGAGAAACACTCAGAGCAGAGCTGGAATAATGGTCCTGTGGGATCCTTCCTGGATTCATGTACATAACACACACTCTGCAAACACTCTGCAGCCTGGTGTGTGGCCCTGGGCTAGCTACTGAGCCTCGCTGTGCCTTTAAAATCAGTTGTTCATGGATTCAACGCATTAGTATTTGTAAAACCCTTAGAACTGTGCCTGCCGCTTAGTAGGCACCGTTTGAAATTTTTTTTAATATAGTTTTATTGGGGTAAGCACACTTAACATGAGATCAACCCTCTCAGCAACTGTTTAAGTGCACAACCCCATCTTGTTAACTACAGGCACAATGCTGACCAGCCACCTCTAGAACTTTTTCATCTTGCATAACTGAAACGTCGCCCCTGTTGGTTAGCAAGTCCCTGTTTCCCGTCCCCCAAACACCTGGCAACCACCACTCCCCTCTCTGGTTCTGTGAGTTTGGCCAGTGTAGGCAGATCATGTAAATGGCATCAGACAGTATCTGCCCTTCTGGGACTGGCTTATTTCACTCCGCGTAATGTCGTCAAGGTAGGACCCTACTTACCTGTTTTTGCTTTGCTTGCCTGTGCTTTTTGTGTCCATGAAATCATCTCCAAGACCAATATCGTGAATATTTTCCTAAATGTTTTCTTCGAGGAGTTTTTTTCCCCCAAGATTGACTTTATTTATTTATTTATTCATTTGAGAGAGAGCACGAGACAGGGGAGAAGCAGAGGGAGAGGGATAAGCAGACTCCCCGCGGAGCATGGAGCTCGATCCCATGACCCTGAGATCATGACCTGAGCCAAAATCAAGAGTCAGAAGCTCATCTAACTGAGCCACCCAGGTGCCCCACTTATGGGAGTTTTATAATCTCAGGTCTTACATTCAAGCCTTTTTATTTATTTATTTATTTATTTATTTATTTATTTATTTATTTAGAGCATAAGCACAAGCAGGGGAGGGGCAGAGGGAGAAACGAAGAGCAGAATCTTAAGCAGGCTCCATGCTCAGCACAGAGCTTGACGTGGAGCTCAGTCCCACAACCCTGAGATCAAGACTTGAGCTGAAATCGAGAGTCTGACGCTCAACCGACTGAGCCACGAGGGCGCCTCTTACATTCAAGCCTTTTTAATCAGACTTTTGTGTAATAGTGTAAGATATGGATCGGTTGCATTATTTTGCACGTGGTTGTCCAGTTTTCCCATCATCGTTCGGTGAAGAGACTGTCCTTCCCCCATTGTATACTCTTGACCCTCCGTCAAAGACCAGTTAACTGCATGTGCCTGGGTTTATTTCTGGGCTCACTGTTCTGTTTCATTGGTCTGTATGTCTGTGTTTATGCAAGTACCATATTGTTTTAATTACGGTAGCTTTGTAATATATATTTAGAAATCAGGAAGTAGAGTGCCTCCAGGTTTTCTTCTTTATTAAGACTGATTTGGCTATTCGGAAATAATTATTTGTTACAAGAAATAAAATACTAGTTTGGGCAAGTCATTTATCCTCTATGAAGTTAAGTTTGTTTTGTTTTCCTGTGGGTAAAAAGATGACTTAACTCATGAGTTTATTGAGATGATAAAAGAGAAAATAAATGTAACCTTTCTAGCACCCTGCTTGCTTGGGTTTGGGCTCACCCCATAATTAGCAACTGTCTTTCTATGCACTACTTGGCTTTCTGATGGCCTGTGTCACCCTAGGGAGCTGACACTTAATAAAGCCCAGAATAGGAAAAATGATCATATAGGTTGTTGACCTTAGAAATAAAACAGTGAGGGCGCCTGGGTGGCTCAGTTGGTTAAGCGACTGCCTTCGGCTCAGGTCATGATCCTGGAGTCCCTGGATCGAGTCCCGCATCGGGCTCCCTGCTTGGCGGGGAGTCTGCTTCTCCCTCTGACCCTCCCCCCTCTCATGTACTCACTCTCTCTCAAATAAATAAATAAATAAATCTTTAAAAAAAAAAAGAAAGAAAGAAATAAAACAGTGAGTTCTTTTTCCAGCAAAAATGAATTTATTTGGGAATAACAGAGAATTGCAATCTGGGGTAAAGGAGTCATGGTAAAACCATAGGCAAGTCCAACAAATAAAGAAGAGGAGCACTATTTTATGGAGAAGAAGGAGAAGTTGGGTTGTTTTGAACTCAGTCCATTGAAGAAAGACAAGCGTTCAGGGTGCTGACAGGTTTTCTTTGGCTGAGTTGCAAGGGTGGTGGATTGCTTGTAGGAGAGACGGCGCACATCCTTTTTTCTGGGGCCCAAAGCCGATGATTCTCTCCTGTTGAGGAGGCTTCTGCTGGGTCCAGAATGGACACTTCTTAGACCACGGTATGGCGTGGGAGCTCCCCCTTCTGGCCTCCCGCCTCCATTTCAGCGAGGTTTTCCTGACGGTATTGATAACCAGGGTCCTTCCTGAACGCCCATGTGTTCTGTCTTGTCTCAGAGCTCTCCTGGAGGAAGGAAAGGCTACGGTGCCCCGTCTGGCAGAAAGACTGACCAATGAGCTCATCTTGCACATCAATGTGAGTCAACGGGTTGGGTCGCGAGTTGTAAAAATCACAGCCTACCCAAGCCCCTCCACCCTGAGATGGCTGTGACACCCCCCGAGCTGCCCACACAAGCCAGAAGACAAGCTCATTCTGAAAACCAAACCGCTCATGATCAGAGGTTCCCAGCAGAGCTTCCAAAACCTGGAAGCAACAGCCGTGTAATGTTGAAGAAATTGCTCAATCCGTCAATTTGGGGGAAGCAACAAGGGAAGGAGGAACACGATAAGCCACTTTAGAAGGGTAAAAGGAATGAACCCGCACTTAGCAAATGTATCCTTTTGCAAGAGGTTAACATTTTGTCGACCTTGAGAACGAAACAGTCAGTTATTTTACCAGCAGACAAAAGCAATGAATTCTTCCGAGCCAGGAAACACATACTCCAGGAACATTCGGTTGGAAGGGGCCAGTGGTTCTCAAACTGCACACAAGAGTCACTTGGAAAGCTTATTTAAATTCAGATTCCTGGGCCCCAATTCAAGTTTCTGAGTCGGTAAATCTAGAGGGTAGGAGGCAATGAATTTGCACTTGTGACTTCCCAGGTGGTCTGGGAAACATACTTTGAGGAGTCCTGATTCCAGTGGAACCCCCTTCGTTTGCACAACAGGGCCTCAAAAGACATCCCCTGTCTAAAGGACACAGCCCCGTCTCATTGACAAAAACTTTGTTTTTGCGAAAAGACATTGCGGGTTTTTTTGTTTTTTGTTTTTTGTTTTTAAAGATTTTATTTATTTATTTGAGAGAGAGAGAATGAGAGACAGAGAGCATGAGAGGGAGGAGGGTCAGAGGGAGAAGCAGACTCCCCGCCGAGCAGGGAGCCCGATGCGGGACTCGATCCCGGGACTCCAGGATCATGACCTGAGCCGAAGGCAGTCGCTTAACCAACTGAGCCACCCAGGCGCCCAAGACATTGCGTTTTGATAAGTATTTTTGATGATATATTTCTCAGCGTTTAAATATTTTACACTTGTGGTATTCTAAGTTAATTTTTTAAAATTCATAACAAGAGGGGCACCTGGGTGGCTCAGTCGTTAAGCGTCTGCCTTCGGCTCAGGTCCTGGTCCCAGGGTCCTGGGATCGAGCCCCGCATCAGGCTCCCTGCTCCGCGGGAAGCCTGCTTCTCCCTCTCCCACTCCCACTCCCCCTGCTTGTGTTCCCTCTCTCGCTGTGTCTCTCTCTGTCAAAATAAATAAATAAAATCTTAAAAAAAAAAAAATTCATAACAAGACCATTATGATAATGATCATTTGAAACATCAGGAAAAAATGGAATACATTTCTGACCATAGATTCAAAATGCCTGAAAACAAAACAAAACAAAACAAAAGCCCCTGTGAGGACCTTATTACTTTTGGTGTCGTCCACCTTCGTCAGCATCTTACCTGGGCTTGGGATGCTAATCCACAAACTGCCTTTAACCCCCCACGCACTCCTCCTGTCTGGCTGCAGTGTTCCCACTCACTGAAGCAGACGCTGGGGCCACTGGCCCCTCAGGCCTTGTGTCCACCTGCTTGGGCTGGGGAGGCGGGGAGCAGGACGTGCACGGGGACTCTACCACTTACTCGCTTGGTGACAGGATCAGGCAGTTTGCCTCTCTGAGCCTTAGGTTCCTCTCTCGTAAATCCAAGAGGCAATAAAGCCATGTGCTTTTTCCCGCAGTGTGGGGCTCAACTGAGATGTGGGGGGTGCAGAATGGCGTTTAGCCCAAAGACAGCCCTCTGTGGTGCCTCTCAATGTCCTTCCTTCTCCTCCCCTTCCTTAGCATCAGCATCGCTGATTGGTTAGGACTATACCCAGCCTGACACTGATATCCAAGATAGACCCTCTACCCTAGCACTGTTTATCAGTTTATGACACCCAAATGATCACCAACAGAACATTTTACTAAAGGAAGCTTATGTTACATTCAAGTGTACTTGTTCTCTAAAAATTTTTTAAAAGATTTTATTATTTTAGAGAGAGAGAGAGAGAGTATGCGGCAGGGAGGGGCACAGGGAGAGGGAGAGAGAGAATCCCAAGCAGATTCCCCGCTGAGCGCAGAGGCTGGCCTGGGGCTCGATCCCACAGCCCTGAGATCACGCACGACCTGAGCCAAAACCAAGAGTTGGATGCTTAATCGACTGAGCCCCCCAGGTGCCCTTACCTGTTCTCTAAATACAGAGCACCAAGCCAAACCAAAACCTGGCCACCTCTTGATTCCTCCCCACCCCAATGACATTAACAAAACAGCAAATTTCTACACTAGATCTTTCAGGCCGTGGCGCACACCCATTGCACGCAAAGCCATCCTTGGGCTCTTTAACAGGTGTCCGTGTTAACAAGCTTCACACAATAATAGAGATTCCGGGTCCCCTTGAAAGCTTTCACATGGGATTCCGCCCATGTATCTAAGAAACCTGTCAGCCGATTTCATCAAGCTGCGGAGTTTCATTGTTCGCTATTATTTTGTTCAGAAATCACTCCCGTTGTTAGAAAAGCAAATAAGGGAGAGCCACCAGAGGGCGACAGAGGAACTGCACCAGTGTGGAGACAACATCCCCAGCAATGAAGCCGATAGAATGTTCTTTCTGATCGAGGTGAGGGTGACCGGGACTCCTTGTGACACTCAGGCACAGAAACTGGTTTCTGTGTCACCAGATCCCTGTAGATGGCCACATCCTCCCTGGTGGCCCAGCACCTCTTGAGATGGCCCCCCATGCGTCCCTGCCCGTGGCATGCCGGGAGCCCTGTTTTGCAGGGAGCTGCCCGCCATTTGTCTTGCCTGGGAGATGGAGTGGTTGGGTGGCTGACTAGATTTCTGGCAGTGCTTCCCCCCCCGCCCCTCCCCGCCCAACGCCACACGCTGCAGCCCCAGGCAGGTCCCAGCTCTTTAATGTGATTACAGCGCAGATTGATGACTTTATCTCATTTTCAGAAAATTAAGGTGTTTAATCAGGACATTGAAAAGTTAATAGAGGGAGAAGAAGTCGTGAAGAAGAAAGATAGCCGCTTATTTAACAAAGTCAGGGAGCATTTTGAAAGCTGGGTACTTGTACTCACAGCCAATACCCAAAAAGGTAAGTCCTGGGACAAGGCTCCCCCTAAACACCTTGGGGTCATATTTACCAAGACCAGAGGCTGCTTCTGGCTCAGAAGTGTGCAAACAGCCGAACATGCCCACACAAGACACCATGGGGCCCCTTAGCAATGGATCACCGCTTCTCAGCCATCGATGTGGAGCCTTGCCCTCACCAAATTCTACAGTTCTACCACCTCCAGCCTTCTTCTTGCTCCTTTGTTTGGAGACTAGACAATTCTACTTACCTCATTTGCCTTTTTCTCTTCGCCCCTAATGCAAGACCGCAAGACCGCAGAGGTCGGTGGTTTGATAAGAATCTCCTTGCTTTGCCTGAGGAAGTTCCAATTTCCCTTCTGCCAGAGTCCAGATGCCTGCAGGGTGTGTGTGTGTGTGTGTGTGTGTGTGTGTGTGTGTGTGTGTGTGAGGTATCTTTGTTTTGGCGCTTGATAAAAACAGCACTGTTCACGTCCATGGTAGGATTCCTCCAACTGTAGTCTGGATGTGTTCTTGGGAGATCTGTAAGTGCTGTAATAATATTTAAGTTTCTGTTTTCGTGGAACTAATCCGGTACTTTCTACCAGTTACAAACACTAAGCTCATCTCTCAGGGTGATGACTCTCAACTGAAACACGTTTCCATAGGATAACAATTTTGTTTCTTAAAAGTCAGTTTTCCTTAAACTGGCATTATCAGACCATAATTTTTTTTTCATTATGAAAAAGCTCCATTTAGAAATATTGCCTTGGGGTCCCGTGGGTGAGCAAGGCTGCAATAAAAAAAGTTTCTATTCGTAAAATGTTTGTGGAATCATTAGACTTCACCACGGTGGTCTGTCTTATACTGCAGTTAAAAATATTATTCACGAAGAAGTCTCAATATATGAAAAGCAGTATCGCGGTAGAGAGCTTCTTGGATTTGTCAGCTACAAGACGTTCGAGACCATAGTGCACCAGTATATGGAACAGCTGATAGACCCCGCGCTCACCATTCTCCACCAGACTGTTGGTGAGGAGCTCTCCCAGTGCCTTGCACATGGTCAGCCCAGCCCGGTACCTTCCACCTTCTGTAGGGCTCGGTGCCTTAGAGGGAAGGATCGGGGTGCAATTATCAAACCAAGCAGGAAGATCTTCTTTGACCATTTTGGGGGGAAGACAAGAGTGCACAGGAGCGTGGTCTGGCTATTCCTCCCCTCCACCCAACCATGCCGGGGTATAGCCAGGTCCTAGTCCTGGAGAGAACACACACTCCATGAAAGGACAGCAAGTGGACAGGACCCGGGCAGGGTGGGGGTGGGGGTGGCTTTTGTGTCTCCGTGGGACAATGTACTGTCCCCTCCTTCTCTCTTAGTCTATAGATCTGGGGAGCGCGACATTGGAATGGGGTCCACGTAACATGATTTCACTTCCCTGTGTCTCTAACCTGTTTTATTCCTGCTTGCGACTTACGGATGCTTTGTTCTCTCTTTGGTCAGAAGTTGTCTGGCAAACGTTCGCCGATGCAGCCAAGAGGCATTTTAGTGAATTCTCCAACCTCAATCAAACAGCCCAGGTAAGCACCCACAGTCTCCGTGCCAGTCATCTGACCTGCCGGCTCTTTTCTCTGGGTCTAACCTTTGAGAGAAGTGGCAGGTTTACTGTCGTTTAGAAATCCAAGGCCAAGGTTATAACTGCGGGCCGGCTGGGCTGGTGGCAGCCAGTCTGCCCTCCCCCCCGGGAGGGACGAACAAAGCTCTTGGCCCAGTTACCCTGTCTGTAGGAGCTTCCGCCACACGGCGGGCTGGAGGCTCCGTGGTGATGCTCTGAACATACCTGGTGACTGCCCGGTTCTTTGAATCTCTTTCTACCACAAAGGACAGAATTGTCCACTAGTCCTACTCCAAAATCTTCCCAAGTGGGACTTAAAAATATTGTCGCAGCTCTGTTGGTTTCCACTGAAACAGCTCTGATTTCCCTCTCAGTGATGGGAACCAGGGGTGTTCCTGGTCCCCCCCTCGCCCCATCCCCAGGCTCGAGATAAAAACCCTCCTCTGCCCAAGCCTGGGCCAGTGGGTCTGAATCTCATTCCACTACTCAGGTGAGCAGGAAAGAGAATTTCTGCCATTTTCCCGTAACAGCCGAATGTCTCCTTTTACCTCTTTGGCCGGTTGGCGAAAACTCAGTCTGACTTCTAACCTCTCCATCTCTCCCAAGGGCTTTGTCTGAGGCCTCGGGTGCCTCACCAGGGGATGGGGGACAGGCCGGGTCCTGGACCACCGTTTCTCCAGCAGCCTGTCCTTCCCAGGCCCTGCTTGTTGGCCCCCTGCCCCCCCCCATGCTCCTGACCCCAAGAAGGGGCTCTTCTCCACCACGTCATCCCTTCCCTTCCCAGAATGCCCCTAACTGCGGGGGTAACGCAGGAGTCACGGGATTTCTGGGAAACAGAGATGTCAAGCTGTTACCCCACTGTGTTCATTGGTGCAGATTCATTCTCGAATGCGTGGATTCAAGCTGATTAGAGAGACCACGGTGATGGACGTAGAAGTATAGAGTAGACCACGATCGAGGGGGCAGGCAGACGGTGATGTGGGAGCGAAGGGAGGTCGGGGCAGAGAGGAGGACCTGCAGCACAGGAGTGGGCAGGACCCTGCAGGGGTAGAGACACAGGATGGAGGAGGATAGCAGCATGGGGTGCAGCGGTCCTCCTCAGAGTCGCCATGTAAAATCAAGGCCTTCTTGGACCTGAAATTACGTCTAATACCATCCCAACATAATAGGACTTCCTATGATGTTTAAAACAACAAGGGGGAGGCAAGAAGTCACGTGCTTTCTCTTATCCGCCCAGAACAAGATTGAAGACATAAAAACGAGAGAAGCAGAAACAGCAGAAAATCTGATCCGACTTCAGTTCAGAATGGAGCAGCTGGTTTATTGTCAAGACGAGATTTACAGCGTGGTTCTGAACCAAGTCCGGAAAGAGGTCTTCAACCCAGTGGGAAAGCCCTTGCAGAATCCCGAGTTGAAACTGTCATTCTCCAAAGATCTGTCTTCGGTGTCGTCCATCACTGAGATTGGGGTGCACCTGAATGCCTATTTCTGGGTGAGCACATAGACCGGTGGCGGGGGTATTGGCCCCGCAGGCCCCAGGCATTCTGGCTGAAGCTGCTTCACAGGGGAAGGCGGGAGGGGCCGCTACTCGATTTGAAGTCTCTTCTGCAGTGAGAAATGCTCACATATTGTCTCATTTATGGTGATAACCCTGTTGTTACAACATAGAGTTGTAACCCTGTCTAGGAACTTTTAATTAATTGGGGAACTTGGGAATCAGGTTTTTAATGTGACAAAGCATGCTTTCCAACTGCAAAGTTCTTTATATTTTATGCTATGCGTGAATTACAAAATTGCTATTATCAGAATACAGCAAAATACAACAAGCACTAACTTTACTAGTTAGCATTTAGTTTTCCGTGATGTTCAGAAGGCATTCGGGACTCAAACGGCCTCAAACTCACCGGCTCCACAAAATAGGAATGAAAATTCCTTTCCCTAGATTCTGTGACCCAATCACCTCCAGAGTTTCCAAACCTCCGTCCATGGACAGAAATGTGGGGTGCAGGGCGCCTGGGTGGCTCAGTTGGTTAAGCGACTGCCTTCGGCTCAGGTCATGATCCTGGAGTCCTGGGATCGAGTCCCGCATCGGGCTCCCTGCTCAGCGAGGAGCCTGCTTCTCCCTCTGACCCTCCCCCCTCTCATGTACTCTCTCTCATTCTCGCTCTCTCAAATAAATAAATAAATCTTTAAAAAAAAAAGAAATGTGGGGTGCATAGAAAGGAAAGTAATTTTAATCTGCAAAGAAGCCCAACTCCTGAAGCCTTTTCTTTTTTTTTTTAAAGATTATTTATTTTAGAGAGAAAGAGAGAGCGAGCTAGAGCAGGGGGAGGAGCAGAAGGAGAGGGGGAGAGAGAGAGAAGCAGACTCCCCACTGAGCATGGAGCTCGATGCAGGGCTCGATCTCATGACCCTGAGATCATGACCTGAGCTGAAATCAAGAGCCAGACACTTAACCCACTGAGCCCCCCAGGTGCCCATCCTGAAACCTTTCCTGAATCAGAATAGAAAGTAGTTACCCAGATGTGAGGTCCAGCTGCCAGGCAAACTTGTTCTTACCTATGCAGACAGGGAATGAGGTGGCCACTAAAGCAGGTCCCAATCTGCTCCCAGAAGGGGCCAGGGGATCGCAGGGCCCAGAGGACTCTCTGGGGAGGTGGAGTGGGGGTGGGGGTGGAGGAGGAGAGGGGCGGAGCTCCCAGGAAGGCTGGGATGTCCAGAAGTGTGCTATGGGCTTGCTAGCCTGCCAGGTGGGTTCTTAGTACCCGAGGGGATACCTGCCTGTCGTCGAACTCAGGCAGCCCAGATAGAACTTTCCCATGGCTCAGTGCTGACCACTGCAGTGGGGTGGACGGGACCACCAGGACCTATCGAGGCAATTACCCATGGATCCAAGAATCCCAAGGCTTTGCTGCAACCACAGGCCAAGACCCCTCCAGCTGACCTTTCTTATCCCCTCTTCCAGGAAGCCAGCAAACGTCTCGCCAACCAGATCCCATTCATAATTCAGTATTTCATACTCCAAGAGTATGGCAGTTGCTTACAGAAAGCCATGATGCAGATACTGCAGGAGAGAGAGCACTATTCCTGGCTACTTCAAGAACAGAGCGAGACCTCTGCCAGGAGGAGAGTCCTTAAGGAGAAGATTCACCGGCTGGTTCAGGCGCGGCGCGCTCTCTATAATTTCTGCAATTAAAGGGGCTGGGTCCACGGAGGGGCAACGATGCTTTTGGGTTTTCTTTTCTGTGCACGCACTGTAAGGGGATGCGAAAAGTGGCTTCGCATTTGGAACCAGGCTTTTCTGTTGCCACCTGTGTCCACCTTTGCTGTCCTGCATTTGCGCTCAGCACCAGTTTGTATCTGAAGTCCACATGCACCCGGGGCTGTCACCTCTGCCAGGAGGCCTTCTCTGATCTCCCCAAAGAGGTGGCTCGCCAGTCCTTGAGCCTCACAGACCCCCGTTACAGCGTTCTCAAATACTGCTCTCTTTCTTTGTTAGATTGTAAGAGACCCCAGAGGGGGGAGGTCAGGATCATATTCTTTTGTATTCCCGGAATCTTGAATGACACCTGCTACACACGAGCCCCTTAATGAATTATATCTCACCAAACACATGAATGATGAAGACCACCTGGCGTTGTGGCTTAAATGCAGACTTCGGTGGTTTGAGATGGTGTCCCTTGGCCGGTCACTCTCAGAGCAATTCAGCCATGCCACCTGCTTCCCCGTGTTGACTGTAGCCGTGTTTCCAGCCCCCCAGGGGAGACTGGCGGGGGCGATACCGATTTTAATGTGCACTGTTTCCCTGGCTGCAACGAGCTCCCATTGCTACGTTAAGTCCTGAAGAGATGTTTAATAAGGAAAAACATTTTTTAAAGATTTTATTTATTTACCTGACAGAGAGAGAGCACAAGCAGGGCGAGCAGGAGAGGGAGAAGCAGGCTCCCCACTGAGCAGGGAGTCCGACACGGGGCTCGGTCCCAGGACCCTGGGATCATGACCTGAGCAGAAGGCAGACGTTTAACTGACTGAGCCACCCAGGCGCCCCAGGAAAAGCATTTTTTTTTTTTAATGTAGAGGTTCATACCAGTGGCCATCTCTAGATTGGAGGATTACGACTAATTTTATTTTCTTCGTCAGGCTAAGCAATACCTACTTCAGAGGAATTTTAGGAGGGTTAAGTGAAACCATTTCTACAAAACACCTGTCCCGAAGCCGGTGTTCAAAAATGCCAACAATTCTTCGCTCTCCATCAAACGCCTCTTTCTTCCTTACTCTCTAGGTCCGTAGAGCAGCCCCCCTTCTAAAGCCCTCCCAGCCAGTTCTCACACCCCGTTCTTTGATCTCTGTGAGGCAGGTGTTATGTGGGGTTAGATGAGCCCGACCTCATGGTTTTGCACAGGCATGCCCAGTTTTCCCAGCACCATTTGTTGAAGAGATCATCCTTCCCCCATTGGTCTTGGCACCCCCATCCAAAATCATTTGGCCATATATGCAAGCATTTATTTCTGGGCTCTCTGTTCTAGTCCATTGGTCTGTGCCTGTCTTTAGGCACAGACCAATGGACCACCAGGACCATTGATCAAAACCACACTGTTTTGATAATGGTAGCTTTGTAGTAAGTTTTGAAATGAAGAAGTGTGAGTCCTTAGCTTCCTTCTTCTTTTTCAGGATTGTTTTGCCAATTTCGGGGTAGCTTGAGATTCCACGTGAATCTTACAGTGGGTTTTTCTCTCTCTACAAAAAATGTCATTGGGATTTTGACAGGGATTGCACTGACTCTGGAGGTCACTTGGGGTGGTATTTGCATCTTAACAATATTCAGTCTTGCAATTCATGAACACTGGATGTCTTCCCGTGTATTTATGTCTTCTTTAATATCTTTGAGCAATGTTTTATAATTTTCAGTATGTCTTTCATTTCCTTGATTAAGTTAATCCCTAAGTAGTTTATTCTTTTTGATGCTGTTGTAAGTGGAACTGTTTTTCTTCATTTCTTTTTCAGATCGTTCATTGTTAGGGACCAGAAATGCAACATTTTTCGTTTTTTTTTTTTTTTTTTTTTGCTGAATATTTGTGGTTTTCCACATATAAAATCATACAATTTGTGAACAGAGGTAATTGTACTTATTCCTTTCCAATTTGGATGCCTTTTGTTTTGTTACCTTGCTGGATTGCTCTTCTGATAGTACCTTGAATAGAAGTGGCAAAGGCTGGGAACCTTGTAAAGTGTCCCAGATTTTGAAGAACCTTTGCAATATTGAAGCTAATGGTTATGAAAAGAGCGTATGAAAGAGAAAATATTGGTCTTAGTTTTGGTGTCCTTTACTTTTCTTTTTTCTTTTGTAATTTGGACTTTTCCCCTCATTTTATGAGTTGGGTCACATACACAAATAGCAGCAGTGCTGAGAAGACCCACTGTCCCTGTTCCCTTTGTTGTCTTTTTTTTAAATTAATTTATTTGGCAGAGAGATAGAGAGCACAAGTAGGCAGAGTGGCAGGCAGAGGGAAAGGGAGAAGCAGGCTCTCTGCTGAGCAGGGAGCCTGATGCGGGGCTCGAGCCCAGGACTCTGGGATCATGCATGACCTGAGCCGAAGGCAGCCGCTTAACCGACTGAGCCACCCAGGCGCCCCCTTTGTTGTCTTCTTAACCTTTAAATTATAGATGCTGTTGTGGAAATAAAGTCTGAGAAAAATAAAGTCTGATATTGAATATTTGTTCCATTAATTGCATATTCAAAGCTTCCCCGTTTCACACGTAAGTGCAAGCGTGCGTGTGGGCGCGCACACACACACACACACACACCAGAGCGTCGGCCAAAGCTGCTCATTTGCCACCTCAGGACCGACCCCAAGCCCAGGTGCCCGCACCCAGGGAATGCGCTCAGGCCTGGCGTCCCCGGGTCCTGGGGCTGCCGCAGCAAAGTACCACGAGCTGGATGGCTTCACCCAGAGGTCTGTTCTCTCACACTCTGGAGGCTCGAGGTCTGAAGTCCACTGGAGCGGAGGGACAAGGTGTCCAGGCCGCTCCCCCAGTTGCGGGTGGCTGCAGCCGTCCTGGGCGGTCCGGGCCTGGCCCCTGCGCCGGCCGGCCTCTGCCCCGTCTGCACCGGCCTTCTCCGCGTCTCTCAGGCCCATGTCCCTCGCCTTTCTCTTCTGGACACCAGTCGTCAGGCGGAGTCGGGACGACCTCATCTCGGGATCCATAACTTCATGAGCTCTGCAGAGATGCTACTAACAAATCAGGACACGTCCCAGGCTCCGGGGCTTAGCGCGGCACCTGGCTTCTGGGGACCACAGCGGGGCGCACAGCACCCGGCTTCCCAGCAGGGCGCAGCACGGGGCTGAGAGCGGGCCGCGCACCCACCAGAATAAGCCCACGGCGGCAACCGCACCCCCACATCTCCGCAGCCGAACGCAGCCCGAGGGTGCTCCCCGCTCACATCTCCGACGTCCACGGCCGCCTGGCGGGGGGCTGAGCCACACGGTCCCTGGGCGCCCCCATCGCCCGGGCCTTCGAGCCCCCACCAGACCCTCTGCGTCTGCCCGGCAGGTGAGGAAAGAGAGGGTGTAGGGGGTTTGCAGGGAGGTTTCGGGGAGCCGGGCGGTCGCGGGCAGGTCTCAGGCCTCGGGCCACGCCCAACTGCAAGGCAGGCTGGGAAGTGTGGTCCAGCCGAGCGGACAGAGGGGAGGGGAGGCAGGATTTGGACGTCGCCACACCCGTCCCTACCTCCACGGGGAGCGCTCCTTGAGCAAAACACGGAGTAGAGAAGCAGACGTGTCCTCCGCTCTTGCTCCTTTCGCCCGGGTCACTCGCTCGCGCACGCACACACGCACGTGCCCCCGACGGCTTCCTCCTCCGCGGCCGCTGGGGGGCTGGGGTTTCGTTCCGAGCAAGTGCAGAAGGAAGCCATTCGGCCAGACGGTCGCAAGGAGGTCAGCCGCCACGACCGAGGGCTTGGCAGAGCCCCGGGCGGGGAGGGGAGAGGCGAGCCTTCACAGCGGGAAACCCGGAGGCTCCGGGCTCGCCGGAGGGGGCTGTGGCCCGGGGAGGCCTGCGGGGCTAACTAGAACAGGCATGCCTCGTGACCCGTTAGGGGTCTATACTGGGCTTTCTCTGGTGGGCCCGAAATCAGGAAGAGGGACAAAGAATTAGGGAATCTGTCGGTTATTAAGCAAACCCTAGTCATTTGGAGCTAATGGTTACGGAGATGACTGTTTAGCTTTCTGGGCTGTTGGTAGAGAGCAGTGGGGCTTCCTGCGTCTGACTTCCGACAGGCTGCCTACCTGGGCTGGTCACTGCAGAGAACAGGTTGGTTTCCTGGGCAGGGGGCTGAAGAGCTCTGTCCTTACAGACGGTCTGGCCGCTGTGTGAGTACAGTCTCTCACAGCTTCCCTTACCCTGCGGGACCTTCCCTTCTCCCCTGCCCCTGGGTGCTGCCGGACAGCCCCTTGGTGGTGAGATCCGCTGCCGTTGCCGTCTGGTGGGCAGCCGGGGCATGGAGCCACACCCCCGTGTTTCTGCTACCCTGATATGGCTCAGGGGCGGCAGGTGCTCTTGGGGGGAGGGAGCTGTGTTCCCTTCAATCAACGGTACAGTGATGAGACCAAAGGGTATTCATGAAAAGGTATCAACAAGTGGGATAAACAAATCCAGATTCCCCATCTTGTTTCTGCCCCGTGAGACCCTATGATGGCTTTTGTCATGCGCAGTGACATGGCACGTTGGTAATCTATATTACATAACAAATTATCCCAAGTTTTATCCCTGAAATTTCCTATCAGTTTCTTGGGATCAGGGATTCACGTGCTCCTCAGCAGGTGCCTCAGGTTCCCAGGGGGTGTCTCATGGAGCTGGCCCAGCTGCGGGCCAGACACCTGCACTCTTAGCTGGAGGCTCAGCTTGGGGAGGACTCACTTCTGTGATGGGCTGAAGAATGGCCCTAATCCCCGGTACCTGTGAGTGTGAACGGAACTGTATACAATCTGCACACGAGAGACTCCATGCTGAGGCTTCATTTTACTTTCTAACTAATGAGCTCTTGAACTGGGTCAGAATCCGTAATTGTTTTACAAGCAGTTGCTCATAAAATCCAACAGGACGACTGGCATTTGACCACAGACTGCTGATACGAACTTGACGAAGAGAGAAGAGTTAACGAACACATACCAGGAATAGTTTTGTTTGACGGCACTAAGAAAGGAATTGATTAGCTGGTAATCAAAAGTGGCTCAGCTGGTTAGCACTGAATTCACGGGTTTGGGTTTTTTTTAAGATTTTCTTTATTTATTTGACAGAGAGAGACAAAGTGAGAGAAGGAACACAAGCGGGGGGAGTGGGAGAGGGAGAAGCAGGCTTCCTGCTGACCAGGCTTCCCACTGACCAGGACCCCTAGATCATGACCTGAGCCGAAGACACTTAACGACTGAGCCATCCAAGTGCCCCTCACGGGGTTTTTTTCTTCCTTATCTAAATCACGTGATTGCCTTATTCTTTCTCATAAAACCGCCTTGCTTTCCCTACCCGAGTGGGACACTTTCCTGGTTACTCTGGCATATATGCTCCCAGAGTTGCAATTTGGAGGCCCCAAATTAAGGCCCTTGCTTTCTCCAAGTTTTGCCCTTCTTCCTCAGCTGGCAGCTACCTTATTTATTTTTAGAAAGATTTTATTTATTTATTTATTTATAGAGCTCAAGCAGGAGGAGGGGCAGAGGAAGAGGGAGAGAGGATCTCAAACAGTTGCCACACCGAGTGTAGAGCTCAGTCTCACAACCCTGAGATCACAACCTGAGCTGAAATCAAGAGTCGGATGCTCAACCGACTGAGCCACCCAGGCGCCCTGGGGGGCAGCTACTTTAAATGGAGAAAGGGTCTCTATGGGTCTGAGGAAGCTAAAGACCTCAAGATGGGGAGAGGACCCCGGATTATCCAGGTGGGCCCCAGATGCCATACCAGGTGTCCTCAGGAGAGGGAGGGGGAGCAAGACCCAATGCAAAGAAGGAGCCGATCAGAAGACGCACCCTGCTGGCTTTGGAGAAGGAGGAAGAGGTCATGAGCCAAGGCAAGCAAGGAACGCAGCTCTCGAGGCTGGACAAGGCGAGGAGAAGCATTCTGTCCAGTCTCTAGAGGGAGCGTGGCCCTGTCAACACTGTGACTTCAGCCCCGCGGGAAACTGACCTTGGACTTCTGGCCTCAGAACCATAAGACAGTAAGTGTCTGTTGTTTTAAGGCACTGAGTTTGTGGCAATTTGTTACAGCAGCTGCGGGAGACCGATACGGCCCCCAGGCTCACTCTCCGGTCTGTGGACAGGCCTCAGGCCCTTGGTGGCCGTGGCCAAAGACATCAGTTCTTTGCCACGTCACATGTTGGTACGTTACCACAACATGGCAGCCCAAATGAAAGGTCCACAGGATTATCAGGATCAGGATGGCATTTTGTAAATAGAATTGACTGGCTTCTTCTTAAAGCTGCCCAAATGAGTGTGATCGACACTCTTCAGTGTAGCAGCCTGTTCCTGTCATGGTACCTGGAACGTGGCAGATGTTTTAGAAATGTTTTTTTGGAGCAATGAGTGATGACTGGCGGGCGCTTGCAAAGGCAACACAGAGAACAGGATGGCTCGTGAAAACGTGGAAAGGAGTCGCCATTTCTCACTAGCTGTGTGATTTGGGGCAAAGGAGTCCACTTCTCTGACCCTTCACTTCCTGTTTGACTGATTCTTGCTCTACTGGAGATGGTGTGTAAAGAAAGTGGCCCAGTATCTGACAGGGTTAATATGGCATGGATGCTCCACAGCCAAGGGATGGCATTTTTAGTAGAGACATCGTGTGGGGGTCTCTCCACTTCCTACACTATATATGGGCTGCCCAAGCGAGCATCCATCCCACTTTCTATAGTATGAAATACGGAGCCCAGTCGCAGGCAGAGGAGGGATGAAGCGGCCTGGGTTGCAATTTGAGAATTGGTGGAAAGAACAGATTGCGCACAGTTCCAGAAGCCCTTTGGGAAAGGTCCTGGGAAGGCGCGTCACAGTGCTACTGCCTCCCTTATCGGAAAAATAAGCTTTCACAAAGTGCCTGGAGAATCCCCTGAAAATGCAGATTGATTCAGTGGTCTGAGGGTGGCCCTAGACCCTGCAGTTCTTACAGGCTTCCAGGGGAAGCCAACGCTGCTGGCCCCTCCTTCGAGAAGCACGAATCTATGGCGCGGGTCTATGCAGGAGAAAACAAAACGGGGCAAAGGACACTCACGCTCCGGGCAGCAGAGAAGGGACGCTGCGCGGGGGCGCAGTGCTCGGCCCTTCGGCCCCGACGGCGTCAGACGCCCCGCGACCACCGCCCCCCCCAGACCTCACCCCCTCTCCACCCCCGCCCCCGCCCCCTCCCGGGCACCCGCAGGACCGCGTCCAGGCCGAGCTACCCATCCGAGAGGAGCCCCGGCCAGAGAGCCTCCACCGGCGCCGCCCCTCCTCCTCCCAGTGCGGTGCCCTCCTCTGGCTCCGCCCCTTCCGCGCACGCCCCGCCCCGGCCCCGCCCCAGGGCCCTCCCCGCCCCCCCACCCGCAGGACCGCGTCCAGGCCGAGCTACCCATCCGAGAGGAGCCCCGGCCAGAGAGCCTCCACCGGCGCCGCCCCTCCTCCTCCCAGTGCGGTGCCCTCCTCTGGCTCCGCCCCTTCCGCGCACGCCCCGCCCCGGCCCC